TGAAACCCGGACCGGACATCGAACCAGAAAGAGCAACGGGTCGTGGTTTTTATGGTCTAACCGGTTAAACCGGTAATCGAACTGGTGACATAAAAATTAAATAAAAAATAAAATTTATATGCATAATTATATAAATAAAACATTAATTTGTCAATGGTACTTGAGATTTCAACCTCAAAAGCTAGATGTTTAGATTGTTGGAGCTAGAGGTAGAGGCATGTTAGTACAAGCTTGTGATCTCAAAGAAAAATATTAGAGCTGGAAGCATGCCGTCATATCATGACTCACAAGCTTTCGATCTTGATGCTAAAGGTTGGATTTTTAGAGTTGGGGGCAGAAGTTGGAGGAGAAGTTAGAGATTGAGTTTGGGCCATAAAGGAGAGATTAGAGATTAGAGAAGAGAAGAAAAGAGAGAATTAGTGATTAGAGAAGAGAAATTGTGAATCTAAGCAACTCAGCCAAAATTTCTTTCTTTTTTTTTTAATTTTTTTGGCTTTAAACTGGGTTGACCCAGGTCTGGTTTCCAGGTCAACACCGGTTCTCTCAAAACCGGCCGGTTCAATTCAAGTCAAAGGTTAGATTGGTTCAATTGGTTGAACCAGACCGTTTTGTTCAACGGACGACGGTCGGACCAGTCAGACCATCCGGTCCGGTCCAGTTTTCACAACATTGGTCCAGAAGCAACACAAAAACGCTACAAGACATGTTTGACTTCCTCCATTTGGCTTAAAGTTTCATCCATAAAGAGAAGGAGGTCGTCAGCAAAAAAAAAGATGAGAGAGGACAGGGCCATCAACACCAAACTTCCAAGGTTTCCATCTTCCTTACTCGCATTCATATTGAATCAAGTGGCCAAGTCTTTCCATGTGAATCATAAAAAGGTTGGGACTTAGAGGATCCCCTTGGTGAACTCCCCTTGAAGGGGTAAAAGAAGGTCCAGCTTTACCATTCCATAAGACTCTCAAAGAGACTGATAAGATTGTTGCCATTATAATGCAAACAAAGCTATGGGATAAAGCTAAGAGCAGTAGTGATTCTTTTAGAAATTTCCAATTAAGACGATCAAAGGCTTTCTCCATGTCAACCTTGATTGCAACAAATCTTTTTCTACCTGGCTTAGTTTTCATTTGGTGAATAATCTCCTGGGCAATTATGATGTTGTCACAGCTGGATCTACCTGCAATAAAACTGCATTATTGAGGGCCAATTAAGCTTTACATAGATGGTTGGAATCTATTGGTGAGAAGCTTCGTGAGGATCTTGAAGCTAACATTACATAAAGATATAGGTCGCATCTCCTTGAGGGAAGCGGGATGATCAACCTTTAGAATAAGAATGATGTTAACGAAATTCACTTTTGACATAACAGAAGGATTTTGGAACATGTCTTTGATCATGGTACAAACTTTGTCACCCACAACATCCCATTGGGATTGAAAAAAATGTGCTTGTAAACCATCAGGTCCAGGAGCTTTGAAGACACCCATAAAAAAGGCGGCATTCTTAATCTCAATATCATCAACAGGTCATTGCATCCATTGTAGAGTGGAGGGAGGTAGAGGTAGGAAGCAGCTTAGCCACTCAATTTCTAGAGTAACATTGGGGTTAGGAGAATAGAGATTTTTTTTTTAAAAAAAGAATTAGTAATTGAATGCAAATTTGAAGTACTGAATCTGCAGAGTTAGCAATTAGGAATCAGGGTATGCTGTCACACCAAACGTTAATGTCCTTACATTACATAGAATTGACATGAAAGTCCACACAGAATCTTAATGAGGCTTTAAGTATACTTGATGCTTATATTTGACGTCCCCATACTACGATTCGGTTATCAATATTTCATTGTGGAAGCGAACTATGCTCGTGAGTTTTGATGAGGATAGCTTGAACATTAATTGGATTAAAGTCCTGCCATAAGTCTTGAATAGCCACTATTTCTCATGTTTTATAATGCTTAAATGACACGAGATTTATTCTAAATCAAAATTGTTTGGATTTTTATTTTATTGGGCAATCATAACTTTTAATTCTATACTTTACTTGCATTTTATTTTTGATTTTTATATTTTTTTTTGAATATTTTAAGTTTTTATATTTTTATTTTTTATTTTTTTTGGTTCCTCAATGAGCAAAGTATAAGGACCTTAAAATGATCCAAAATAATAAAAAATAAAAAGGTAGAGATATAAAATATAAAAAAATATAAAGATAAAAGATAAAAAATAAAATATAAATAAATTATAAAGATTAAAAATTATATTTACCTTATTATATCCTATTTGTTATCGTTATCATTTTAGTGCAAACAACTTGATAACTGTATCAAAAGTCAAAACACCACAATTTGTTTACCAACATCTCACCAGCTACGCAAAATAGGTTTTGTTGTTAGCCAAGGAAAAAAAAAAAAAAAACACTAATAGGCTTTGTCCATAGCTACAATACATGGGAGTAAAATTTGTACTTAAAGACTAACATATTGGATTAGTTTATCACAAAGTAATGAACTAAAACCTAAATTTCAAATAGAAGATGTATCTTTTGCTCAAAAAACAAATAGAAAATATATTTATATTCAATGTCTAACTATATCTTTAAGTGGATTATTTCAAATAAAAGAACTTTTATATGCAATAAAAAAAATGCTATTCATGTTTCTATAATACATGAAAGACACATGTTCCCTCTATTCCTTTTATAGGCTCCTTTTGCCAACTTCAGCTTGTTTCTAAATATAAGCCTTCTTTTGCCATTGTCTATCTCATTAATTTTCTGACAAAATTACCCCAATTAATTACACAAAATTAATTGATTAACTAATAAGTATAATCACATTTTTATCAAAAAAATAAGTATAATGAGATTAAAAGTGCATGTTTAAATAAAATGGTGCCAATTATTGACACATTTATCTCCCAACTAAATCAATCAATTTTCTTAATCTTCATAAAATGGTTAAAAGATGCTTATAGAAAGAGGGTGTAATTGATTTTAATTTAAATAAAAATATTATTGTTTTATTTTTCAAGGAAAATTAATCAACAAGTCTTTCTAATTTTTTTCAATTTTGAATCAAGTCCCTATAACTTATTTTATTTTATTTTAATAGAGCCTCTTATAGTTTAATAGATTAAATATCTTAAACCCTAAGAGTTAAAATCCTTGAATTTTTTCTTTTAAAAATAAAATTAAATACATTTATATTTTTATTAAAATATTATATAACTTTAAGATTAATTACATAATTTTTTATAAGTCAAAATTTATACATTAGACTATGTTTCCAGATAACTTCATATATATATAATTTTCATAAAAAATAATAAAAATATAAAAACATTGTAATAAATCAAATTCTTGTTGCTTTTTTTGCTAAAATTTTTAAATCAATTTTTCTATAAATTTTAAAAGCGTTTTGTTTTGAAAATGTTAATTATTCATTAATAATTTTAATCATCAATGGCTATCGATTAAATTATAAAAATTTAATTAAAATAAAATAAATTATAAGAATCTAATTCAAAATCAATAAAAATAAAAAAGATCTGTAAATTATTTTTTTCTTATCATTATTCCTTTTTTGTTATTAATCCAGAAGCGAAACAACAATATCATTTTCCCGTCTCAAGGCTCTGGACTTTGAAGTCAAGACCAGTGCACATAGGCTCTTTAGCAATGTTTTAAAACCCGAATCGGACAGCGAACCAAAAATGTTAATGGATCATGAGTCTCATGGTTCAACCGGTCAGACTAGCGGTTGGATCAGTGACCTAATAATTAAATAAAAAATTATATAATATATATATATATATATATATAAGAAACAAGCTAGCAAACAACACTAGATTCTCAAATGTATTAGGATTCAGGCATAATCACTTGAAAAAAATAAAGGGCCTGTTTGAAAACTTGTTTTGAGAACAGTTTTCTATTCTTTAGAACAAGAGAACAAAAAAAAAAATCCGTTTGGTAACGTTTTTTCAAAAAGTATTTTGGAAATAAAAAAAATATTGTTCTGAAGAATAGAAAAATGGAAACAACTTTTAAGTGTTCTGCTATTATTGTTCTGGAGAACAAGAGAGAATAAAAAAAATATCTATTTTCATTATTTTTTGTTCTCAAAACATGTTCTACAAAACATTAGTTCTCAGAACAATAAAATAAAAACAGTTTTAAACAGCCCCAAAACCTCTATTTACAATAAACAACTCTTACCATTTGACTATCTTTGACAGCTGCACGCCTACACTAGAGTTAACCAAGAATGCAAAGTCGCGAACCAAAATGAAGAAAGTGAAGTGAAGATGAAGAATGAAGAAGCATCTGAAGTTTGAGAAAGCTCGAAATGGCTGAGGTTGAATAGTGAAGAAAGCGAAGGGGGAACACAAAACCCAAATGGTTGAGAAGGTGAATCCAAGATGGCTGAACGACAAAGACGATGAAGACAGAGCCAATATGGCTGAGTGGCTTAAGGGCGAAGACACATAGAACAAAACCCAGATGGTTGAGATTTGAGAAGGCGACGAGAATGCATGTGTGCATCGTGCGAGACAAAGAGAAGTGAGACTAAAAAGACTAAGAATGGGTCCTTTTGGGTGTCGATCTACTAGACAGAGTGAGGAGAAGGCTTTTTTATTTTTCAAAATACCAATTTGATCCTTTTTTTATGACCCATTTTTGACCCACAAAAACCCATTTCGGGTTTTAGGTTTTTCCCAAGCTTTTAAAAACCATGCAGTTCTAGGCAATCCAACTGCTAATACAAGTTAATTGGTTAAACAAACCTGTTTTCTTCAACGGATGATGGTTTGACTATTCGGATCAGTTTGGGTCTTAAAACATTACTCTTTAGATTGCTATAAATAGTTTTTTTTTTTTTAAATAAAATAACCAGGCGAGGCGTTTCAAGTTTCGACCTTGTTGGATTCACGTGATGAGCAAGCCACAACGTACGACCCAGAAAGACCGGAGCTGACGACCCGTTTGCCCACACCACGAAACTAAACACAGCGAAAGTTGATTGCGGCGAGTTCGTTTCAAAATTGTACAGAGAGGCTGTTTCGGTAAATTCATTGAGCCCCTTGGAATCCGCATCAAAGACCATCGACAAATCATAAACCTTTTGCTCTCCCCTCCTTCTTCACAAATTGCTTCACCCAACCATCACACCCCTTCCCACCACAAAAATGCTGACACCTTCTGTCTTGAAGGTTAATCCCCTCTTTTTCCTCATCAGTTCTGTTACACTTCATTATTATTATTATTATTAATAGTACTTTTTTTTTTCATGCATCTCTATTTGTGCGTGTAAATTTGATCCCGGTTGATAGATCTTTGTCCGAAATGACGAACTCTTTATCGTTTCGGCCTGAATTTCGCTCTCTCTCTTTTTCTTTGTCCCCCTTTTTTTCATTTTATGGGTTGAAGGAATTTGGTTGATCGGGATACTTGTTTCTTCTTGATCGGGCACTTCAAAGATCTTGTGATATAGAATCACAATTTTGTTGGGAGGCTTCGGGTGTAGCGGACGGAGTCACGAAAAGGGGTTCTCTGTCTTTGTTAATCTGGTTCATTCTTCTTCCTGTCTCGCTTGGGATTTCAATTTTCAATTGTAATGATCAAGTTCTGATGTTTTCTTGAAACCCGAGTCTAACTATAATGAAGCACTCTGTGTCTTTGCTACCTCTCATTTCTTGAAGCTGATTCTTTCTGCTAAAGGCCCCCTCTGATTTTGAATTGTCGATAAGTACAAATGTTCTGTCTTAAAATTTTGGAGTGAGAAGTGGAGATTCCACGAGACGTAATTTACTGATTGGCTTATTCCTGTCGAGCCTAGCAGTGTGAAAAGCCTGGTATTGTTACTGATTATATTCAGGAATCCATTCACTGAGGAGTCTAGTTGGGTTTGTTTTCCTAATTATATTCAGGAACCCATTCAATTCTCATACTTGCCTTCTAGCAGTTTAGTTTTCATTAACAAGTATTCTCTTGTAAGTTTCCCTTCTTCGGAAGAATTGAAGTATTTTATAATCTTACGTTAAACACTGAGGCTAAGCAACACTGGCAGCCCATGTTATTCGCACTTGTTTGAGTTCTTGCCACTCAAAATTCTTCCTTTTCGTTTTCAAGAAATGTTGGAAGACAAGTTGTGCGCCAGTTATCACAATAGAAAATTGTTCCTGCAGGCAATAGGAAGCTTTGGTCAATCAGAACTTGTTTTTCTTGGATGTGCCTATTGGATTTACTTTCTATTAGGATGTTTGTTAATATATCAAGTGTAATGAATTTGACTTGATATGAGAAATCACACATTGGATACAATAGGGTTTAATAAGATAGACACACACACACACACACAAATGAAAGGACTTATAAATTCAGTATTAAGTTTTTGAGTTAACATGTAGTGTCAATTCCATTCATAAGTGAAAGGACTCACTATCCGTTCCGTTCCAAACATTTTTTCCCTATGAAATGCATGTAATTGATAATAAACATTTGGAAGAAAAGCACAATAGAAAATATAAAGAGTTGAAAATAGTTGGGAGAAGTACTGAATATATATAATGTGTTGTGTGAAAAGTAAGTGAGAAAAATTGTCAGGGAAAAAGTAAGTAAAAGGAAAAGGCACAAAAGCATGGATTGGTTTAAGAGTTTCCTTTATGTTATATAAATAAAATTCTTGTAGTCTTCAAAGGAGAAAAGATCCATTTAAACATATCCCCTATGGAGAAAAGATCCATTTAAACATATCCTCTATGGTTGCATGAAACATTTAAGGAAAAAGGTGCTGCTATCATAGTTTTTCAATTTGATGGTTGAAACTCATTAGTGGCTTTCAATTTCATGTCTGCAGGTGTTTTGAATCTTTTGATTCACTGTAATGCGCTAAGAATTTCATAAAACTGATAAAATGGAAGACAATTGCTCTTCCGTAACGAGATGGGAGGATCTCGACATAGACATTTTGGTGAAGATTTTCCAGTTGCTTGACATCTTCCAGTTAACTTCTGGCATTGCTCATGTTTGTAGTGCATGGCGTATGGCTTGCTGTGATCCCCTTCTTTGGAAAACTCTTGATTTATCGATGCTAAAATCCAATTTCATCAAGATTCCATTAGAGCCATTTGTCTATGTTGATGGACGATCGGATACTACATTGACCCGATTGTTGAAGATTTCTTTGAGTCTAAGCAGGGGGAGCATAATGACATTGATCCTTCATTTCAACTTGTACATAAGCGATGATCAGTTGACATACACTGCTGAAAGGTAATTTCAGGTTTCATTTATAATGCTAAAAGCAACAACCGAACAAGTAATATTCTCTTGGTTTCTGATTTGTTGGCCATTCCTTTTGTTTAGACGGGTTAACTTGAACTTTTGCATTGTATGCTGTTATGTTTAGGATTATACTGATTATTACAGCTATGAAATAATGCAAGTATGCGACTTGATTTAATATTTGAGGAGCCATTTGGTCTTGATTTTCAAGAAAAGGTTGTTACTAATTGAGGCGCTGCTTGGCATTCTCTTCACCATTAGCTATGGCAGGATTGGTGTTTCATTTAAATGCTTTCTTTTATCATAGACTTGCTGGAAAACATCTAAAAGTATTTAAGCTATAAGTGGTTGTGGTTGCCTTTTCAAAATATATTCTATTTATGTGGTTACTTTGTTCAATAATTATCTTCTGTCATCCCTTGTTGCAGGTGCCCTAAACTCAGACGACTTGTTTTGCCAGCGTGGAACAGAATCAAGAAAACAGGAATGATCAAAGCCATACGTGGCTGGAAAGATCTGGAGTCCTTGACAATGCCTACCATAGCGAATCCACCATATCTTCTCGAAGAAATTGCAGTGAATTGCGAGAACTTCAGTGAACTCAAGATTATGGGTCCCTGTGATACTTTCTTCGCTAAATCCATTGCTGATTATCTTCCGAAGTTAAGAGTGTTGAGCCTTCGATGTTCAACACTGTTAAAGGATGTTCTCATTCTGATCCTAGAGAGCTTGCAACACCTGGAGGTGCTCAACATATCACATTGCATTCTGATGGAAACCGTTCCACCTCATCAACATAAAAGGATCGTTACAAAGATTGATCCCGTTATCCTTGAGAGGGCTTCGCGATTACGCGAATTTCTCACATGCATGCAAGACTCATGCATCATGTGCCAGAGAACAAGAACTGATGAAGGGCTTGTGAGGTGGTACAAGTATGAGGAAGGCCTGTGGAAAACAGATGAGGTTGGGTCTCTCTCACTTTGAGGAAATAGGAAAATGGTATAATAGTGAATTTTAGGTGTTGCTGCGTATGTTACCTTTTATCCTGTTCTTTGACTTGTTCTACCTTCAAATAGTGTATCCAAATAAAGATTGTTGGATTATAACAGTTGAAATGTGTCGTAATGCCCCTGAGAAGAAGGGATGTTAAATTTTGTAAGTGTACATAGAAGTTAGTCATGCTCTGCTTTTAATGTAGTTCATACTTCGTATGTTGACTTACCTTCACAATTTTTTTTTTAATCTTTTGGCTACTTTGGTTAACATTTCTCCTAAAGCAGGAAATAATACATTGAGTGAGCAAGCTCGAAGCTAGGTAAGTTTTTTTCCCCCTATTCTTTTAAACGATGTAAAAAGTGCAAGAGCTTGGGAAAATATTACCTTTTTTATTTCTTATTTGAATAATGTATAAGGTGTGAAATATGTTTTGATTCATATAATTGTGGTATGGTTATTTTTTTCCAAAAATTTAGTAGATTATAACACACACACGCACACATAAAGACCCCCCCCTTTTTTTTATCCCGCATGATTGGATATGGTTCCCTGCACTGTGTGTGTGTGTGTGTGTTTTTTTTTTTTTAATTTCAATCTCTCATTAGGACATGTTTCAATTCATAGAATAAATCATCACAAAAGTATGATTACTTAAGATTTTATTTGTTAGAGACTAAATTAAAAAAAAATATAATCTTATGAAAGACTAAATTAATAGAATAACTTTATGAGAGTATAAATCCCCCCCGGGGGGGGGGGGAGACTCTAAACATTTTGGGAAGGAAATCAGTGGACCAGTAATGGGGAGAATTTCAACTAGGGCCTTTTAGAAACAAATTAATCACGTGCAAGGCTGAAAAACCCTGGGACACTTATGCGAACTCAAGGGTCTCAATTGCAATTATTATTTTTGGTCCAATTATCAAAATACCCTTGCATTTTCTCTAAACAATTCGGTTACCGGAGCTTTGGTGCCAGTGTGGTAGTCAATGATCGATCAAATGTAACCAATGAGCCAACAAACACTTTGATTTGTATAGTGCACAATTATATATATATATTATAACTTTTTCTTCCAAGTATTTTATTCCTTATGGCATATTTTGGATACCTTATTATGTATATTTAAACAGTTACTTGTAAATATTCAAATATCACTTATATATAAAAAAAGTTATCAATTTTTTAAAACTTATTTATTTTTTTTTCAACTTGTTTGTTAAATGTTAACAAGTTATCAATATTTTATATATATATATATATATATAAAAGCAGCTGGTAATAGGACACTTTCTTTTTTAAAAAAAGAAAAGGCAATGGCATTTTGATAATTGAACCAAAAAAATTAATTGCAAGTTAAGTTCTTAAGCCTGCAAAAGTTTTTCAAATTTTTTTGGACCTTGCTTGTGATTATTTTATTTTAGAGGGCCCTAGTTGAAAGTCTCCCTTAGTAATATTTAAAAATGGCTACTTAAGTTGACTGTAATGGGAAGTATGCATCCTGCATTTTGAAAATTTCAATTTTTTTTTTATGTTGGAATGAACCTCAAGGTTTGACATTAGCAAAAATAAATTATATGTAATTAAAAAATAAATAAGTTATATAATAATATTGACTCTTTGAGCAACCTGAAGAAGATTACAATTCAATTCAACTAAATTGCTCGGTATTTTATTACCGAGAGAGAGAGAGAGAGAGAGAGAGAGAGAGAGTTGCTTGGCATTATCAGTCTACCAAGACTTGAGAGATAAGCGAGGACGGCTAAATTCCTGCTGAAACCTGCTAAATACAATTTATATTTTACTAATTTTATAAATATATTAATTTAGGTTATATATTGCTTTAGTGTGTAAGAAATATTTAATATAGTTATATCAAATAAGTAATTTTATATTGCTTTAATACTTTTATTAATAATGTTGGCGTAATTGATTGTATTTTTTTGGGGACTGGAAATATGATCACATTCTCAAAATAAAGGATACAAGTAAATCAGAAGTTTAAGAGCCTGTTTGTTTTCTATTTTTAAAAATTATTTTTTATTTTTGAAAACAGAAAAAAAAATTGTTTGGTTAAGTATTTTCTATTTACTTGTTTGCAAAATTGTTTCATTTTTTGTTCTTAAAAAAATAGAAATAATTTTAAGTTGTTTTTGATTTATTTTTTTATTTTAAAATATACTACATTTAATTAATAAAAATTATAATTATGTTAATCAATTTTATCATAAATTGCCATCATTAACCACCTATAATCAATTAATCATCACTATCAGTTTATTTTTTAATTCTAAAACTTTTTTAAATTAATATAACTAAACAGATTTTTTTTGTTATGAAAAACAATTCTAAATGTTGTATTACAAAATAATTTTAAAAAACAAAAAATGAGAACAGAAGCCAAACAAGTCCTCAGTCAATCATTTTTGTTATCTACCATCTTCTAACAAAATCATAGTGGTTGATGAAAAGTGTAAGAATCATAAATTCAATCTGAGGCATTTGCAGCTAAATCTCATACTTCTTTCGGTCTCATTTATAAATATATTTTAAAAGATTTATATGGTCCTATTTATAAATAACGGTACGGCTTTTTAAGTAATATATGAAAAATATTTTTAAAAATTTTTTTCATGAGAGAGAAAAAGTAACATAATATCACTTTTAAATTTGTTATATAAGTACACATTTAAAATTTTACACATTTTTATTTTTTGTACTTTTTTACATTGATATTGATAAGGTTGGTAGAAATAATTTATAAAGAGGGCCGGAGGAATATACAAAAATTAGCTTTCCTGTACATAAAATTTATAATCATACTCCAATCCCTATACAGGACCCATTTATTTAAGATTAAAAAATAAATAATTTTTAGGTAGTTTAGAGATTTTATAAAAAGAGATTTATTTTGTAAAAATTTTATAAAGAGCAGACGTTATTTTATGTTTGGTTACGATAATAAAAAATAATTATTAGTTAGTTATTTTTAAATTTTATAATATCTTCCTTTATTTTTGTTTTATAAAAATAATTTATTATGATATCATTTTAAAATTTTATAATATCTTTGTGTATCCTATTTCTTTAAAATAATTTTTTTTTATCGCATTAGATTATTTTCAGATGCTATTCAAAGTAGCTTCTTCAAATAATTAAAAATTTATTTTTTTATTTTGATTATTTTCAAAAACTTTAAGAAACATTATGAAAACTCACAAAATAAATTTTTTTAAAAAATAAGTGATTTTTTTTCATAAAATAACTAAAACAAATGGGCTATAATAATCTATATCTTGGTCAAGAAGTAGGGGTGTAACTCAATGTCATCCCTAAATATATGAATCAATATACTTTAGGATTTTTTTATTTATAATACATATTCTTTAAATTATATTAATTGAATTGAAATCAGTTTAATTATTATTCTACCACAGTTCAACTACTGAACTTTAAACTAATATATTAATAACTGATTCAATATGTTACAGGTCAAAACATGAGTTTTTAAATGCACAATCAATCTTCTTCTTCTTCTTTTTTCTTATTCAAAAATTCATCCAACGCTTACTTTTCAAGGATTATGAATTTGTGATAATATTTTTTATATTTTTTCTAAATTTATTCATTAGCAATGTAGTAAAACTTCAATTCTCTTGTAACTTGAGAATGTATGAAATATGCAACGCAAAGAGATCTCAGTCATATATTTCATAAAATCACATGAATTCTCATATATTTTTTAGTTCACACTTCATAATTCATAAATACATCAATAGATAAAAAAAATTAATTGCAGGTTAAACACTTAAAATGTCCATACCCTGAAGACTAGCTGAAGCCACGCCAGCTAATCCCGCATACTCGTTTTGATCATTTTTATAAATTATGTTTTAGAAAATTTTATTGGTTCTTTATACAAATAATTTTCTCTTAGTTTTTGTAAGTTTTGAAGAAAAATTCTAAAAATATCCTCTGTCAAATTCTTAAAAGAAGTGCAATATTTAAATTTTTTTTAAAATTTCTTCCCACAAATCAAATCATTATTTTGTTAAATATGGGGAAAAAATTGATAAGTGATTTATTTTTAAAACAATTTTATGAAAAATTAATCATTTTTTTCCTACAGTTTTAATTCAGTTATAACTTAATCCTTAAATTTGACTAGTCGTAACTTAATTCTTATAGTTTTGATTTAGTTAAAACTCAATTCCTGAATTTTGAACCTGTACAACTCACTCTTTATAATTTTAGCAATTTAAAATGCAGATCCTATATTTTATAAAAATGTGAAAATCAAAATTATTTTAAAACTTATGAGTTATGAACTTATATTTTAAATTATTAAAACTTTGAATCTTTATAATTTCCTTAAAGATTATACACGTTTAGATTTGAAAATAATTTTTCATAAAAAGTGATGTTTGCAAAACTGAAAATCAAATAATTCTACATTCTTCAATGAAACTTCCTTTTCACCCCCCAAAAAAAATTATCGTCCAACATTGCTGTGTTTTTTTAAAAAAATTAAAGTACATTTTTTCCAATGACACGTATGAAATATAATTCATTATCTTTCCAGTTCAGTATCCAAAGTATGGTGAATAGCTTTTTCATCTATTGCTTTGCCTTTCTTTTGTTGATTCTCATGATTTCCAATCTCAACCTTGATCCAAATTTCATCTTCTTTACTTCTTGTCAAAAGGAAATCATGAATCCTCTTACATCCAAAGAAGAAATTGATCTACTCAACAAGAATATCTCCAAGCTTGATGACGAAATGAGAGACAGGTTTAGATGATCATCGACTTTCAAAAATGTAGATTCAACAGTGCAACTCCAATCAATTTGATAAATCAAGCAACCAACAACAGGAGCAGCCAACGGATGTTCAATTAAATGAAGTCCTAGGAAATCATGTTCAACCAAATAAATCAACAACTATGATTCAAGGAGCCAAAATACCCATCTCTTATAAAGAATCACTTATTGGCTATAATGGCTGCTATGGAATCCATTCAAGGAGAGAAACTAAACATCGAAACAAAACTCTTGCTAAGGGTGATAGTTTTTGATTGGAAATCCATGAAATAATTTAGATATTATATAAATTCTTCCAATCTACTTGAATTAAACTTCCATGGTGATAGATTTACTTAGGAAATAGGCAAGATTAAAGAATGGCTGGATTAAGTTTTCTGTAACATAAATTGAAGACTTAAATTCCATTAGATTGACTCCTTTCA